TCCTCCAATCCTGATGCCATGTTTTTCTTCATAGAACCCAGCTTCTTGGATTATTTGCTCAGCATACAAGTTGAATAAGTAGGATGAAAGAATACTACCTTGTCGCACACCTCTCTTAATTTTAAACCATTCTAGCAGGCTACAACTCACTTCATTTGCATAGCCTATTGACCAATCCCATCAAGACCCAGGGTCAGATATCAAAATATTAAAACCAAATTATTTACAGCTTACCCAGAAAATGTCAATCAACGTGGACAAAAGTAACAACCCCCACCCCGGAGTAGAAAAGTAGAACACACCTGAGGGCTTAGGGGTAAAAAATCTCTCAAACTGGTTTTCCAGAGAAACAAAAGGCACATCAGGAGCTCATTTCTCCCTGGAGCCTGTAGGGAACCCTCCAGAATGAATGGACAGTCCAGGTCTTAAATATGTCCTGCTTATCTGTAAGAGCAATATTTATTGTTGTTGTTAGGTGCCATTGAGTCGGTTCTGACCCATAGCCACCTATGTAGGGTTTCCAAGGAGCAGCTAGTGAGCTTGAACCGCCAAACTTGCAGTTCAAACTGACTTTGCAGTCCAGCCCATTAACCCGCAACGCCACCCAGGAGTCCTGTAAGAGCTTGGAAGTGCCTAAAGTAGTGAATGCTGAGGAAGTAATAAGTGTGCTTTTTCAGGCCGGTCCCAGCCCCCTCCCTGCATCCCTCTGGGACCACTTGGAAGACTTGGATGCGCCAGAGCAGACTATCCCCTGGGGACACACCCATTGGATTTCCACATCACCCAACAGCACCAGAGACCTGTAGTCCAACAGACCCAGGGTTCAAATCCTAATTCTTCTACTTACTGATGTGTGATCCTCGGCCAACTCCCTCTTCTCTCCGAGCCTCCTCAGTAAACCTAGAAGAATACCGAGAGATAGGGCTATGTGAGCAACAACAATTCCTTGGTAGCCAGCAATCTGTTCTTGTTACATTTCCTGCTGCCCCGAGAGAACTGAGTCCCTCCCCTCCTCCCCATACCTGCCAGCACGTGCTGCAGCCTCCTCGTCACCATCCTCATCAGTGACTGTGACTGTAAGAATATTAGGGTGTTCTCATCATTTTTGAACCAGGTGCTCCTGAAGTGTGGCATTATTGGACAGACATGGTTCCCTGGCTTCTTCCTGGTACTAAGTGCTGGCGAGTCGGTTCTGACTCATAGCAACCCTATATAGGGTGGGTTTGAACCACCAACCTTAGGGCTACCAGTCTAGTGCTGATCCTACCATTCCCCCCAAATGCATGTGCTTATCTTACTTCCTGGGTATGAAAGTCGATTCAAGGGGCACCATTCTCCCCCTGTAGTACATGCTAGGACAACACACTGGGCTTCCGTGCCTTTAGAGGACCCTCGTGTTTCTGTTTCTTCCCTCCAGAAGTTTGCCTAGTGCCTAGTGATTTAACCGCCTGGGGACCCGGCCAGCTGGTCTGCTCAAGGCCTTCAGCCCCACTGACTGCCTCTGTAGACCACTGCACAGAACAGAACGAGGGGAGAGACTAAAGGCCACCTGACAAGGGCTTCCACTAAGTCAGTTCACAAAAGGGAAATTCTAGCTACCGATTGAAACTGTGCTAAGAAGTCCCCGTGTTAGTTCTCTAACTAACTGTGTGTGTTGCTGCCACAGAAGGAACACTCGTGGTGGGGGGCTTTAACAAGCAGATGTTTCGGAGGCTAGAAGGCCAACTCCAAGAAGGTCTTCATCTCTCTTGAGTTTCTGCTCCTGCAGGCGGCATTCTTCTGCCCCTGTGTGTGCTTTCCAGTTTACTAGCTTTTATATCTCAAAAGAGATTGACTCAAGAGACACCGTCCACTAAGCCTGCCTCATGAACATCACACAGACAGCCCGTACCCAAACCAAACCAAACCCACTGCCACGGAGTCTTTGTGAGCCATCATAGTGTGATGCTGCTCCATTGGGGTTCCAAGGCTGTTCATCTTTGAGCAAGCCACAGAGCAGCTGGTAGATTCAAACTGCCGACCTTGGCACTTAACCCACTGTGCTACCAGGGCTCCTTACCACCAGCATAAAACTGAAGATTTCTGAGATGTATTCGGGAGGGGGGGGGTGTGTTCCACCGTTCATTCCCAGCAAGCAGGCAGTGCAGCCTTAGGTTGATCAGTTCTGGGCATGCACAGAGCCCTAGGTTTCCTTTAACCCCTACTTCCCAATTTTGTCCCAAGTCCAAGGAAGTGGGACCAATGTCTTATTTTTGTCTATTCCCCTTTAAGAAAAGTTTTTTCATGTCAAAGTTGAAAGCCATCAGAAAAAATCTCTCATTTTAAAACACTTGATGAGTTTTAAGATCATCACCGTGAGACGGACTGTTGAAATCTGGTCCTTGGTATTTCTGTCATCTCTCCATCATTCCGCATGTTTCCGTTAAGGTAGGCAGTTGCTGTGAGGAACAGCAGAAGGAGCGCCCTGATGGCCAGTGAGGAATTTTACTTTCAGATTCAGGGGCGCAGGAGTCAGTGGTCTTTGGGTGAGAATTCATCCCAGACAAACAGCATCCTCCTGTTGAAGCCACCAAAGCTCGGTACCAGTGTCACTGTGTGGGTAGAGATCAGAAACAGCTCTTACTGCTGGTGGCTACTCAGAGAAGGTGGTTATGTCCCCTCCTGGGGTCTAATGGTTACCTCCCCTCCTGGGGTCTAATGGAGTCCTGAACACAGAGGGGGCTGAGGAAAGCAGATTTAGGCAGCTTAGATGATCCTTGGTCAAGACCCAGGGGATCTTGTGGTGTTTGTGGGTAAGCCCCTGAAATGACAGACAGTGGTACATACGTTCATCTTATCACATAAGGGCCTGCAGCTTCCTTCAGGTTCTCAGAGGGGTCCCTGATCCAAAGATGATTAAGAACCACTGCCATGACACCTATAGGAACCATACAAATAGTCGTCCAATCAGCTGCTCATGTATACAAGGGGGGCTTCAAAAGGTTCATGGGAAAGTGGGAAGAAGAGATCATAGCATCTTTCAACAGAATTTTTGAAGTCCCTTGTGTTTTTTTCCTGGCCACGGTGGGCTTCTTGAACTGAAAGGAGATGAATTTGTTAGCTCCAAGTTAGGTCGCGTTTATTTAAAATAACCACAAAATAAAAAACTGCTAAGGACTTGGGGCGCTGAGGCTAAGACCATTAGACTGCTTATTCTCAAGGTTGGCAGTTCAAAGACACCAGCTGCTCCTCAGAAACCCTAAACAGGGTTGTTATGAGTTGGAACCAGCTCGACAGCACTTAACAAGAGTTTGAAAAGCAGAGGAACGAAGGATTAACAACAATCTTTTCATTAGCATGACGAATGCAAAAATAAAGACTTTCTCAAACTCAAACCTCTTCCTGGGGCCCGCTTTTCCCCAACAGCTGCCCTGTGAGCATCGGCGGCAGTGTCTCTGCTCCACAAGTGGAGGATGAAACCCTCACCCAAGTCAGGGGCAAGGGAGAGAGGTGCTTTCTCATCCAGGTGCTAGTCCCAAACGCTGGTCTCGGACCACAAACACCACCTCCACATCCATCTCATAAGTCACATACATTCACCTTGTGAAAAGTGGAGCCACTCGTAACCTCTAGCTGAATGGCTCTCAGAAAAGAGCCTCTGAACAAACAAGCGTAACGTAACGTTGCTCCCCAGACGCTGCCTCTGATGAGCCTGCAAAGCTCTTCACCGCTGCCTCAGAAAATGGCAAAGGATGGGGCTCCATGCCCTTTGAACAGGGGCCAGCAAAGCAGCTTGGCTGCAGGAGACTGGGCCTGGAAACAGCCCACTTTAAAATAATTTTTTAAAAAGTCAAGTTGAGACACTCTCCTCTTCTTTCCTGCTGAGTCCCTGGCTCAAGTCCGTACAGAGGCCTCCGGTTTGAGGTCAGACAAGAGAGGTCTCCTGGCGGGCTGCTCAACCTCCTGAGCTTGGGTTGTGGGATTGAACTAGCTCTGTTACGTGTCACAGGTGCCAGCTCAGCCGAAGCCTGAGGCTTTTTGGAGATCTACCTTGTTTGTTGTGTCTGAGTAACATGAAAGAGTAATCCTAATTCGATCCCTGATGGAGTCAGGTAGAAACCTGCCTCTGTCGATCGACTGCTCAGAGCTGACCAGACTCAGCCGGCACGGCTGCATCTGATTTGAAGCTCACTGGGCACCTGTCCTGTCAGATGCGCAGATCTCAGTGCTGACCTCTCTCTCGGTGGTTTTGTTTCTTCTAGGCCAGCGCCTGTTTGGGGAGACCATTTTAGGGCTCACTCAGGGGTCCGTCTCCGACCTCCTGGCTCGTCCCAAGCCCTGGCACAAGCTCAGCCTGAAGGGACGGGAGCCCTTTGTCCGGATGCAGCTGTGGCTGAATGACCCCAACAACGTGGAGAAACTGATGGACATGAAGCGGATGGAGAAGAAAGGTATGACCTGCCCTCCACCCTCCGCCCTCCGCCCCAGCGCAGCGCTTTCTCGTCCATAAACACGCTGCTGCTTTGAAACCCTTCCCACAGAGCCTGGCCTACGCACTGACCCGGGGCCAGGACCCTGTCCAGCAGGCTCAGGGGGGCTTTCAATAGTCACCAGCGATGAGGACCCAAGGGGAATGAGAAGACGGAAGGCTTCATCTCCCCAGCAGCCTGACCCTGAGATGGGGGACAGCCAACTTCCTCCTTTAGCCCCCTCTGGGGAGTCAGGCCGCCAAAGAGAAGGAGCAGCCTGTGCTGCCTGTCACTTACGTCTTGTTGTTAGGTGGGCGGGATATTCAAGCACTGAACATGTATCCTGCACCTGACGCTTTCCTGAGCCATGTTATGGAAGTGACAGTGAATAGCGCCATTGTGGAGATACGGAAACGGGGCTTCAGAAAGCGTCTGTGTTTCTATGAAGGTCACCCAGCCCAGAAAATGGCAGTCCAGAGCTCTCTGTGCTCTTACTCTGTTACCTATAGAGACACAGCCTCCCTAAAGGGCAAAATGTGCTGGCTGTTGGTCCCAAATGCGTCCAAAGCAAAGGCTCATCAGAGCAGCCTTCGAGTACCCGTAGGCCCCCAAACACAGTGGATCATAAAGGAAATAAAGTGGCAGGAACCATAACTTCCTGGTGTTAGGATGACTTTGTCTCATGGTTTACAGTCCCAAACTAAGGGTCTGTTAGTGAGCCCCCGGCCCCCTTAGCAGATATACTCCCAGGTGGTGGAATCTAAGTACCGTACTTGTGGATACTGGACATCAGAAGCTATAACGGCCTCCTTCGTCAGCAGGTGCAGCGGGTGTAAGAGTGGTTCTGCGTGGCCCCATCCTCAGAGGATCTGGGGACAGGAATTCACCAGGGGAGCCTGCCCTTCACCCCCACTGGGGCTTACTATTCTCACTCTACCAGGGTTTCTGTACTGCATCCTCCAGGAATTCTGTGGGCCTGTGCCCTTGATTGAACCCTTCCTATATGCCAGGCACCTTAATGCACCCCGCTCTACAGAGCAGAGAGGCCGTTGTCTTGTAAACATGAGGCTAGCCTCTCTGGGATCTGAGAGCACTGATGGCCAGCTCAGACGCTGCCTTCCCTCCACCAAGGGCCCCAGTGGGGTCTGGCTTGGTGCCACTTCACCCTGGAACAAAACTGGATTTTCACTTTTTATGATGGAAAATGCAAACGTAAACGAGAGAAGAGCATGGTATCATGAATCCATCCATCACAGTTCCAACAATTGTCAGTACACAAACAAGCAATTTTAAAGCTCTCTACAGTCTGTCCTGATGTGGTGCTGTAAGATAAGCACTGGACTGCTAAACTACCCGTTACTCCTTGGATACTCTGTACGGGGTCGCTCAGAGTCAGAAGCAACTCAACAGCCCACATTAACAACAGTGTGCACCTTGAGCTCAGCGAGGCTACTGCTCCCAGCGCCTCCAGCCCCCACCCCCTGCCCCAGGGTGAACACCTTCAGGCTGCCCCCTGACCAAGTGCAGGAGAGGAGAGCTCTGGATTGACTGCCCAGACCCAGTAGGAAAGGACCTCAGCAGCTGGCAGTGGGTCTTCAGGGCCCTGCTAGGCCTGTGCTCTTCCTTTTGCCGGCCTCCGGGCGCCATCTTGTGTTAAGGCAGAGTTATTGTCTCTGTATCTGGGACCTTCCTCACAGCCAGGGGCCTTACTGTCTCCCCTCCACACATAGGACAGGGTAGCCATCACCTGACCTCCCAGATGGGGCAGTGGGTGGCCTCGGTGTCCGAGATCACCATCAACTACTGGTGACCCATCCCAGTAGGGCGCTGAAGTAGACCCCAGGAGGGTGCTGGAGAGAATCCAAGGCCCACTCAACTCCTGACCTTTGACATCTTCATTTCCCATGGGGAAAATGTACCTTCCCAATTGTTTCCTGGTTCTGTGACTAAAATGACAGATTTGTTCAGTCCCTGTTGACATTTGCCTAATGAGGATAATAATGCTAACTTTATCAGGTGGTAAGACTTAGAAAGACTACACCTAGTGGCACAGCTGGCACATGGTAGTGCTCAGTAAAGGGTGGTTGGAAATCATTTGTATTCCTTTAAAAATGTTACGATAATGCGTACCCTTAGTCTAGCCTAAGGGCCCATATGATTGTAATGAAAAATTCTGCAGTGTGTGCTCCAGGCCCCAGGGTTCCTTCATAGACCGCACCTCATTCTACAGTGCATGCTCCAGGCCCTGGGTTCATGCATAGATCGCACTTCGTTCAGCAGCGGGTGCTCCAGGCCCCTGGGTTCATGCATAGAACGCACCTCGTTCAGCAGCAGGTGCTCCAGGTCCCTGGGTTCATGCATAGACCGCACCTCATTCTACAGCGCATGCTCCAGGCCCCTGGGTTCATGCATAGAACGCACCTCATTCTACAGCGCATGCTCCAGGCCCCTGGGTTCATG